GTAGCCTCACCGTTTGTTACTCTATGTAGATCTTCAATTCCTAGAGCACGTTGTTCATCCACAAAGTTCAACCCTTCTTCATAGTGCGGAAATCACCCCCGCACAAGTGGCGAAGTTGCCGGAGCCAAGTCTGTATCTCTGAGCTTAGGCTGCTTGAAGGCGTCGTAGTACATGATCTCGATCGAGCTGCCTTGGTCGATCAAAATGCACTTAACATCGAAGTCCCTGACGCGAAGGGTGACCACTAGAGCGTCATTGTGTGGCGTTTGAACGCACTTAAGATCCCTGCTTGAGAAACTAAGCACATTTTTCTCCTCGGTCTTGCCGTTTTTGATCGCGGGATGGACTGACAAAACTTCCCTCATATGTTTCGCATTTTTTATCATCCCTCAGAGCTCGCAAACCTGCGCCGGCTCTACTATACTGTGGATCACATTGTCCACCTCTTGGGGGAGTGCATTTAGGTCATCCAAGCCATTTGGCTTAGCTGGTACATGGTGCGCGGCCCTAACGGCCCCGTCAATGTAACGGTCCAAGTGACCGTCGGTGACTAACTCCTCGAAGTGTTGCTTCAGGGGGCAAGCAGTCCTCCATCCGGTGCCCTCGCTCCCTATGAAATATACGGCGGTATCGCGGATTGAAGCCCTTTTGCACATTGCCTAACTTGGTGGGAAACCGAACGTAAACCCCGTTGCGGATTTCACTAAGTATGCAGTAGATTAGGATCTTAAAAACTGTGGTGATGCCCGTCTGAGCGTTCAACTTTCTGTTTGTATCTGCTGCATCATCGCGGGGATAATCAGCTCGGTCGTTCCAGTGACTTTTACCCCAGTTTCTACGATCCGGACCACGGTCTAATTCCCTTGCGCGGTCATTTGGATGGTTTGTCTCCTGTTCGACCGCATGGACTTTTCCAGCCACCCTTTTGTCTACTACCACCGGATTTGTCTTCACGGTGGATGCAGTCACATCGTCCTCCACTTAGATGTGCTCGTTGATTCGCTACATCAACAGCTCCATGGAAGTCGGTTGGTTCATCGTGAGCGAGTCCCTCAGTCTATATCCGATCGGGAGACCGCGCTTATATTGGGTGATTGCCAGGTTAGTCGGGCAATCAAGGATCTCGTTGAAGATTTTCCAATATCTAGCGTTTTATGCTCTGAGGGAGTCACCTGACTCCATCTTGACGCTCAAGAAGTGGTCAACTTCCTTTGGCGTTTTAGTGTTGGTTTTGATTCGAGTCATGAACACTTTCGCCAATTACTACCACCTTTCGATGCTTTCCTCCGGAAGCCTCTCGAACCACTTCAAGCCCGACTCGCCCAAACTCGACGAGAAAATAAGGCGCATGAGAGCATCATTACGCCTGTATCCAGCCATAACCTGCCGGAAGTGGCTTACGTGCATGTATGGATCGATTTTTCCGTCATAAAGCGTAAATTTGGGCTGGTGAAAGCCCACTGGAAGTAGTGTGATCTCTACCTCAAGGGAGAAGGAGGTGGTGCTCAGCCTTGACAAAATCTTTGTCCAAAGGGACAGGCACGACTGAATGGGGTGGTGACATTACGACCTCTTCATTGGTGCGACCCCCATAGGATAACTGCTGGAGCGCCGGCACCCTTTGAGCCTTCCATCGACATGCTCGCTCCTTCAAGACGTCCCTCAAGTCCTCCGAACGAACGGAGTAGGAATATCTCGTTGTCGTGGGCGGACGTGAGGGATGGTAACTACAATCTTGCGCTCAAGACTTCTCTGCAGATGGGTTAGAGTCTCCAACCCCATAGCTTCTGGTGATAGAAAGAGAGGACGTGCGTTGTTGGTTTTGGCTGCCTGAGCGGCGGGGTTGGGTGCGCTCACTGTGGTCACCCACTCTAGCAGCACCCTTCCCTTTGACTTGCCGCTTGAGAGCTTCCATCTCCGCCGCCATTCTCCGGATGACGGCGTTTTGGTCCCTCAACTTGTGCTCCAGGCGTTGTGCGTGTGACTCTCTTTGTCGCCGGTGTCCGTCTAGACTCCGCAAGTGATCAGTGCTCCTGGCACGCTTATCTCGCGCATCTCTAGGGAGTCCTCATAATGAGGCCTGCGGAAAGTCCGTCTCTCCGTCGAACTGACTCTGGGGTAATGCCGTCGATGACAATTAATGGTACTTCATCGTTGTTCGCCATAAAAGGTGATCCGATGAGCTTGGAGGACAAGGTTGTGTCTGTTTTGAGTTTCCCACAGACGGCGCCAATTGTACGGGGGGCAAATATCCGATACCACCTGTAATCCTCGCGTCCAAGCTCCACTCCGTTCTGATTAACCTGCAAACACAGCGATGGTGAGCTACCCGGCGGTGTGTTACCAGAAAATTCCTCTGACGATCAAGTTAGCACACCTTTGGAGAGAGAGAGGCGAGAAGTTAAAATGTGGTAGTTTAGTTTTTTCACCTCCTTTTTCTGTATGGAGTTGCATTCTTATTTATATGGTTACTGCGTGCGCTTTCATGCCTACTCCTCTCGGGACGCGTGGACCTGCTCCCCTCTCACATTTTCCCACGTGTCAGCGCTAAAATAGCTAAACACCACCTAACAAAAATCGTAAAACTGAATTAATGTACGATCTGCGAAACCTTCCTACTGCGATGCCGTACAACTGCGCAGCACTCCCAACCGAGCTACTATCAGCGCGGTGCCACATCTTGCCGACGCAACCTTTTCTCTCGACCGGTTTCCTTGATTACTTCGCACCGCGCAGTACCTCCACCAAGCTCCTAGATTCCGACAGCTCTCCTGCCCGGTCGGCCCAAGCTTGGAAGTCCAAACTTACTGATGTGCACTATCCCACCGGGCTAGTGGACTACAGTTACTCCGGCTCAATCGGACCGGGCTCCTTAACCCAAGGTGTTCGCTGGCCGCACGGACTTAGCTTGGCCTAACAAGCATGGCCCACTCAGTCCGGCCCAAACGAGTTCGGTCCAAAGTCAAATTAAGGAATCCCCCTCTCAAAATTACATTACTAATATATCATTTATTTTTATTATTTTTGCAATAATTATAGTCAAATAAAAAGAATCAAAATGAATATTCATATAACAAGTCATATAAATTTTTTCATGAATCTCATGTTTTCATGATATTCTAAATATCCCCACATAAAATATTACTGTGTCTCATTTTTACATCAAAGTAGATTTTTAATGATCCCATGGATTGTATACCCAAATGAAGAACTATTGAGTGCTATAAAAATGAATACAAAATTAGAGATTAAAATAAATTAAAAAATATATATATTCTCAACAATGGTTATTACATCATGTAATTCATATTTAATAATTCTAAATAAACATAGCCTAAATGTCTATGAGCTTCAAGCTAATCACCCATCAAAAATTAATTATTTATTATAATTTTATTTTTATATATAATTGCCATTAAAGGTAAAAAAAAAATTAAAAATTAAAAAATATTTTGCAACTCCTCCATCCCACCGACCGCCCGCCCGCCCGCCTGCTTTCCTCCCTTCCTCTCCCTTTTACAATTAGCTTCGCATTGTGTTTCTAGAAGAACAAAAGCAGGTGGACCAGCTGGAAGCCTTTTCAACAATTTGGCCCAATCTTGAGATTGGGCTTTGCCTCAGAGCATTTAACATGGACTCATTTCATCAAACCAGGGCCCGGCCCACCAGATTCATTTGATGACTCAGCTGTGGACAACTGTGGGATACTTCAATTTCATTCTATTGGACCTGGCCCACCATATTAATTGACGAAGCCGTTCATATTCCGCTCATTATCATCTATAATGAAATTTCTTCCAATTTTTTTTTTTGAATTTTTGATGAATTACACTAACGGTCTCTATAATTTAGAACTTATGCTATTTTAATTTTTGATTTTTTAATTGTGACACATTTGATCTTAAATTTTGAATCTTGTTCTAAATAAGGATAATTGAATGTACCATTGGATTTTTCAAGGGCAAAATCATTAATTTGATAAAATATAAACTAATTTGACAAAAATAAATGTCAAAAAAGTGTTTTTGAATTTTTAAAAATTATTTTTACCCACTAAAGATAAAATTATATAAAATTAATAAATCTTTTAGACATTTATTTATTTTGCCAAATTAATTTTTATTATATGTTTGGATGATAATTATGTCATGGGTGATTGTTTTTGTTTTCATTAAATTAGTTTCTATTTTTTCAAAAGTCAAATATGGCGATAACTTTGATATCATTATTAAACCAGTCCATTAAATTAAAAAATCCAAAACTAAAAATATTTCATATATTAAATATATCGATTACACATTAAAAGCTTAACAACTACCCATTACATTATCATTATCTAAGCATATAATAAAAATTAATTTGATAAAATAAATAAATAAATAAATGTTTAAAAGATTTATCAATTTTACATAATTTTATCTTTGGAGTATAGAAATAGTTTTTAAAAATTTAAAAATATTTTTTTGACATTTATTTTTGTTAAATTAGTTTATATTTTATCAAATTGACGATTTTATCCTTGAAATTAAGTAATGATATCATCAATTGTCCTTATTTGAAACAACATTAAAAATTCAGGGTCAAATGTGTTACAATTGAAAAATTAGGAACCAAAGTGACACGAGCCCCAAACTATAGAGACTATTAGTGTAATTCGCCATTGAATTCAAAAAAAAAAAAAATTCAAAATCTTTTAGTCTAGACAAACTAAAAAAAAAAACATAATTTAAAAGTTAACTAAAAACCAAAATAAGCTAAGAAAAAAACTAATTTATATTTGAGTGCCAAAGACCAATGTCCTTATTTCTATACAATATATATAAAGCACCGATCTATAGTGAACAGTGTTTTCTGCCTCGAATGAACAGTAACATCTCATGTGTTGAAATGTCTATTTTGCCACTTGGTCTTTACCTATAATAAAGCCTATAAACAAACCAAACCAACAAAACACAAATCATGCTTGTGTTGCCTAGAGAAGAGAGAGAGAGAAGAAATCAAAGGAGACGGAGGAGGAAGACCCACTGGTGACTACCGCCACCGTCGACATCTGCCTGGGGCAGCTAAGCAGCAAACAAGCTCTTGCACTTCTTTCTTCTACCAGAGTTCTCACACTCCCCTCTCCCATCGTTCAGGTTCGCTTTTCAGAAGTTGGGGTTTTCATACATACAATATCTGATATTTGTTTTTAATTTTTCTTCTTCCCTGCTCTTTGGTTTTCTCTTCTTGTGAAAATAGTTTTTTTGGAATAGTTTTTGTGAGTTGCAAAAAAAAATTACAAGGACCAAACCCTAATTTTACCCCTTTTTTTGGGCCTCAAATCGTAATCCCAACTGAATAATATGATGTTTTATACCTAAATCGACTAAAGATGATGCAAGGGAAATACAAAAAAAATAAAAAAATAAAAATACGTGTACTGTTTTTTTTGGGATCCTACCTAATAAATAAGGATTTCTTCATCTTTATGTCTTTAGGTAAAGTATATCATTTTGTTCTATTATTATTATTATTATTATTATTATTATTATTATTTGTTTATAGGGGAAAATGGTGTTTGATTTTCTTCATTTTTGTTGGTTTTTTTTTTCATTTATTTTTATGTTTTGATTTTTTTGCTTGTTTTTTCTTTTGATTTTTTTCGTTTTTTTGTTCTTTATTTTTTTTTCGTTTTTGTTTCTTGCTTTTGTTTATGTTTGGTTTTTATTTTTTATTTTTTCTTCCAAGCAGTAAATTAACAAAGGTTAAGTCCAAGTTTGGTTTGACATTGGTGTTCGGCTTTCTTTAGGGTTAATATTGTATTTATTCTGAAATTCAATCTTATATGGGTTAAGGGTAAGGGCTGGAGATGCTCTTTGTTGTTTTTTCTTAGTGTAAGGTTGTTGTGAGCAAAAATTTATATTCATGTTATGTTGTTATATTAATTGTTGTTTCTCTGGTTCGACCTTTTTATATGTTGTTAAATTTATTCATATTAGTTTGTAGATATTTATAATACTCATAATGTGAAGGTAATGTTTAGAGTTGTATAGTGATATGTATAAATCTTCATACGTATCTATGATTTTAATTTTTGTGTTATTATTATGCTTGATATATTTCTTTCATTGGTTGTTGATTCCCCCCTCCCTGGCTCAAATTTGTTATTATCTTATTTGTTCAATTTTTTTTTTTGGTTCTATTTTTTGTGTTATGTAACATCTGGCAGATCTTGAGGGATCTTACACAAGGGTGATTTGAGGTTTGTTATGTATTTTCGGTAGATTATATTTGTTTCTTGGTATTTCTTTCTCATTAGTTAATTTTTTTTTCATTTTTATTCTACAATTTGGCTTACAATTTGAGCTAAAAAAATTAATTTTGTTGATCATATTCTGTGCTGAGGTATTTGGGATTCTATGCTTAATATTAGGAGTTTTTTTGTCTTGTTTATTTTGAGGTAGTGCACTCTTTTTTGCCTTGTTTTTTTTTTCCCCTTCAAAATGTGGACATTGATCGAGCTACAAAATTTAAGTTATTCTGTATAAAACTAATTAGATTTTATTGATTGGTAGATCATATGACATGTAAACGAACGATGGTTGTTCACTCTGTCTTTGGCTCTGTTTCTTTTCATCCACTTATGTTAACTGAACAATTTATTTGATTTGATGACTTTATGGGTTTCTATTTAGAACTCAAATTTCAGTTTCTCAATATTTGTTGTTGATTTTGTATAATTTTTCCATCAGGGTCCCAAATGATTCACATCCCAACACATCAACAACCTCGTCCACTTCTCCCTCTATCAAGTTTTTTTATCGCTTATTTTTTTACTACATCACTGAGGGAAAACTCCTCACCATTGCCATCATTTAGCTCAAATTGTTTTCTAACACCTTAATGTCTTTCACTATATATGTGTTTTATCTATTTATGTAGTGTTTCAACCCATTAGTGATTGTGTTTGTGTCTATGGAGAGAGAGAGAGAGAGACGAGGATTACTTAAGAATTTACAAATAAAAAATGAAAAAATGTATATATATATATAGTGTAGATAATGCGTTATTATGTAATCATTGTAATAAATTATGAGAATATATATATATATATATATATTCATTTTGAAATTCACTTGCATATATTGCAGGAAAAAATTTTCTTTGTCTAGAAGATGCACCATCAAAATCACCTCAGAGGAAGCTGCTTGCATCAATATTTTGTGTGAGCTAATTTCTTTCTTCCTTTTGCATTTTGATTTGATGCAATTCAATTATTTTGAAAAATTTGTGAATTGGCCTAATTACTTAAAAGCATTTTGGTTGGATTTTTTAGTTTTATTTTTATTTTTAATCAAAATTTAATTTTGCTTATCTCTGGCTTAGCTTTTTATTTTCGTGCTTAATCATGACTTATGGGTGTTTGTAGTCTGGAAGATTAGGTGTTATGTAATATTAGTTAAGAACTTATTTTATTGATTTTAGTTACTCATGAATATCAATTTTTCAATGGGTGTTTGTGTTTCTTTCTTTTCTATTTTTTAAATCTTACCTCCTAAATCAAACTTTATAATGTTTCATTTATACCTAAACTACAGTACGTTGGTTGATGCTTAGTCAGAGTATAATGTTCCATTCTCCTTCCCTTTTCTTTTGATTAACAACATTAGTGAAGAATGTATTTAAAGTAGCATCGTCTACCCAGGATACTTTAGTTTGCTTACCAATCTAACACATGATCAAATTAACTGTGTAAATCATTAGTGCCAATTGCTTTTTGGTTGCAAAGCTTACAACACCCTTTTGACGTTACATTCTTTTTATTTTATTTTTTATTTTTTGATTACCGAAGAAGAAATGATATTTTATTAGAGATGATAAACAAGAATCCAGTAAACAGTGGACAATAGGATAGACAATTCTAAAACTACATTCTTTCCCATAAAATCCTAACTCACCCAATTGGACAATACATCAGTACAAGAGCCAAAATGGACAGGAACCTTCTCTGTGATAAATGATTCAACATTTGGTACTCAATTCATTTGACATTGAATACTTTGCATGGTTGTTTATTTAATGAGAGACCTCTTATTGGAATGCACATTCTTTGCATTATATGGTGGCTTTTGTTGCTTTTGTCAGTTTGAATGGGAGTGTTGTTCTTGCTAACAACCATTTTCACTTTTATTGTTTCATTTCATTTTTATTTCATAATTTTTTTCTTTGTTTTTAATAAAAGTAAATTAGTAATGTGAGATTTATTTCTTGTCCTTCCTCCTGATACTAGAAGTGCAAAAGAAGCTTATGCAATTTCTAGATTTTTTTTTTGATCAGCAAAAATAAAATATATTGATGTCAAAGAACGGTACAAGGTGTACAAATGAATACATCAGTGGAGCCAAAAGGCCAAGGCTAAAGCAACAAAAAAGGGAACAAATTCCAATCAAAATTGGGAGTAGCACCAAACAAGAACCAAAACAAAGCCAAATAAAGCAAGTAGCAAATGCTGCAAACAAAACACCAGCAGCAATTGATGCTGAAAAAATTCCCATCTCCTTTTTGCACTCAGCCAAAAAAACTCCAATGTTTGAAAGATTCCTACAGTGCTGAGCACACCCATAATTTTGTTTCAAGACCAAACACCTATCACTTAGGTTGTGTTTGGATCATGAATTTAGATAGAGATTTGGAAAAGAAAAGCAAAAAATGTAGGTAAAATGTGAATGAAATATAGTTACATTTCACTCACCTTACCCTTGCCCTTTTCAAATCCTTACCCAAATCCATGCTCCAAACACAACTTTAAGGCAACAGGTTTGAAAAGTCGTCTTCTTCCTATACAAAAAAAGCTCTTCTAAAATTAAGTTGAAAAGAACCATCATGATCACCTATGCGGAGAAGATTAGCTACATTTCCATCCTTAATATCTAAAAGTTGGAAAAATCTGTAACTAGACTCTCATCAAGCCATTTGTCCTGCCAGAAATTAATATTCTTGCCATCTCCCAACTTTGGACTCAAATTTTCCCTGAAGATTGGGAACTTGTCAAAAAATTTCCATTGGATAGAAAAAAACTCCTTTCTCACGTTGAAGATCTATTTTTAGACGAAGGTTCCAACTGATTAATTAGATCATTGGAATTATTGTACCAGTACTTTGTAGTCCAGTGTGATCATTAAACCTAACCCAAAACATCACTTGCATTCATGCACTCAAAATCTATTTCAAATATTAAAGAAAACACTACTATGCTCCAATGATGATTTTTTTTTTTTTTAAAGATAGAATCCAATTTTGTTTCTGCTTCTTGTTAATCTAGAACTGATGTTGTGGAATGACCATCTATGATCCAATTTAGTGAATGCAAGTTGCTAGAAACATCTAATAGCAAACTAGACCTTATTACCAAAAGCTAATTATCAAATATGAAAGGCTCAAAAAACTAAGCTTGTGGGTTTGGTCTAGCTTTTAGATGTGAAATTCCCTCGCTATTCAATTTGCACCATCTTGTTGATTAATTTTCTCTTTGAATTTTGAATGAGTTAATTTGCATGCATGCTCTATGTTTGAACTGCATAAAACACAATGATTTGAGTCTAAGCCTCGTAAGAATTTGCTTGTAGGTATGTTCTCTGTTTCCTTCTTTTCAAGCAGATGATTAGCTACTTATCTTATCTCCATTCCATGCAAATAAGGATGTCTAATAATAGTTATTATGGTCTACCTTTGTATTGCTTTTTTTTATTTTATTTTTTCCCCATTAAACTATTAAATAAGAAGGGTTGATAACCTTTCTATTTATTGTTTTTAAATTATTTTTTTCATGCTTTAAGCAAGTAGAATAAAAGTTTTGCAAACAAATCATGTTGGATTATTCACATTATCTTGATCTATTTGGTATACATTTAGATTGAAGGAGTTGATGGGATCTAAAAGGTAGTATTTGATTTGAAATGCTAAATAATGAAAACTTGATATTTCTTTCTAACAAATATAATGCAGAGCAACTCTGGCTGAGGATTTAATAGAAAATTCAGTTCATAGAGGAAATGGTGGTGATAGGTCTCACAGCATTACATACAAGCATGGTTTGGCTCATCTTACTCATAATATACCAAGTAAAAGTGGGTTCACAATTGATGAGGGATTTCAAGTCCAGCCATTAAGGATGATTGAGTACTTGTTCATTTGTCAAATAGAGAAAACAATTGCTTTATTTTTATTACATCATATTTTTAGGAATGACAATTTTGTTGGGAAAATAGATCTTGTAATAGGTTTTATTTTTTATTTTTTTTGGTATAAGTAATAGTATTTGTTAAAAACTTTGTATTGTTGAGTCGATCTTGTTGTATTCATGATCGAGTTGCTAATTTTGTGTGTTTTATGCAATAGCTCAAAACTCATTTAAATACACAAATGTAATGGGCACTATCTGGGCATTAGTTAGCATGCCTTGCACGCAGCCCCTTTCACTAGTAATTAAAAAAACGATTGACAAATATAATTACATTTATTCATAATGATGTGTAGAGACATTTTAACAATTATGAGTCACAAATATTACTTGAAATAAAGGATCATAACCTATCATCGCATCACTCCTTACAAAATTTTATATAAAAATATAGTATTACCCTTTTGTTTTTTAGTGTTTTGTTTATCAATTCATTTTTTGAAATCAAGTTGCCTTTATTCTAGCTAATATATAAAAATACAAATTAGATTAGTTATGACTAGTTGATGATTAAATCTGTAATTTCTTGGGAGTCTATGGCATGACTAACTTGTTTGGAGGTTGAGAGGGTAATTTATACCTAAATTGGGCCGAGATGGGTAAATGGGCCGTTCTTTGGGCCACAGTAAGAAGGGCTGGATGAAAGGGGGCTTGTAGTTAGCCCGGTCCTGGTAAGCCTTATTGTTATCCCGGTCCGACAGAACCGTGAAGTTAGTCCGGTCTAGAGAAGCTTTGCATATAGCCCGGTCACTGTACTCAAAGTTAGCCCGGTCATGGCTTATCGTGGTTATCTCGGTCAGAACCTTGCTATTTGTTAGCTCAGTCTGATCACACCATGGTTTGTACATAAAAAATCGAGGTAAGAGCAGTGAAAGAAAGAACCAAACTAGCTATAGTTCGGTCTAATCTGCGGCTTAGCATAGCCATGCTTACCTCGGTCATATTGGAATCCGACCATGGTAAAACCATCTCACTTGGTTTAAGTAGTGAGGGGGGTGTTGAAGGATAAGCATTATCTTTCTGGAGTATGACTCCTAGGAGGACTTTACATGGATGAGTAAAAGTCCTACTAGGATTGTGCCACGCGAAACCTATAAAAGCTCATAACATCACCTATGGAGAGGTAACACAACTTTGATTCTCGAATACACAGAGCTTTTGTCTATTTGTCTATTTTGCTGACTTAGGCATCGGAGAGGTATCCGGCACACACCCGCCGGCTAGCTCACGTTTGTGTTTTGAGGGAGTAAAGCAACGACGTACGGAGGAGTGCAGACTTGATCAACAGGATTATACGAGAAAGTTTATTTCTTTCCCGTACAATTGGCGCCGTCTGTGGGAAACATCAGACTATAACAAAACCTCTTGATCAAGTTTTTCCTCTTTATAAGCAATGACGCACAACGAAGATTTTTCGCAATCCACCATCGACGGAAAAGCACCAGAGGGGGGTGCGAGGCACGAAGGCCTACCTTCTATCCTTTCTATGGCGAACTTGGAGCCATAGTGACAGGAGAGGTATCCGGCACACACCCGCCGGCTAGCTCACGTTTGTGTTTTGAGGGAGTAAAGCAACGACGTACGGAGGAGTGCAGACTTGATCAACAGGATTATACGAGAAAGTTTATTTCTTTCCCGTACAATTGGCGCCGTCTGTGGGAAACATCAGACTATAACAAAACCTCTTGATCAAGTTTTTCCTCTTTATAAGCAATGACGCACAACGAAGATTTTTCGCAATCCACCATCGACGGACAAACACCAGAGGGGGGTGCGAGGCACGAAGGCCTACATTCTATCCTTTCTATGGCGAACTTGGAGCCATAGTGACAGAATCCCAGGAGGGATGCAAGGGGGAGGATGCGGACTAACAGCCCCCGTCACTCTCGTTCACAAAGTTCTGACAGACAAAGGCGGAGGATTGATCCTCAAGTTCTAGAGGACCGCGTGAAGGTGCAAGATGAATTGATAAGGAAGATGGCGGCGGACATGGAGGCCATGAAGCGCCAGATCAAGGGAAAATGGGTGGTGATAGGAAAGGGGCGCAAAGGCAATGCGCCTCCTCGCCACTCAGAAGATCGTAGTAGGCATACCACGACATAGCAAGTAGAGAGTAGAAGCCTTAGGACGAGCGACACTCAATCAAGGACTTCCAGAACTCGTTACTCCAGGTCTGAGAGAACGAGATCACTAAGGTCTTACACAGAGGGAAGTACCTATCGGCCCTCACACACGCCCTATACATCATCTAGGCAAACTGAGTTGCCTAGATCGTCCGACTTACGGACTGTGCTTGAAGAAAGGGCGCGACAGAAGGAGGATGCTAGGACGCGCGATCTACATAGAGTTTCAGCCCTTCAGCGGTTGGCCCCTCGGACGCATGGAAGTGTCGAGGTTGGGATGCCAATACCGCACCTTACCTATGAACCAATAGATAAAGCGTTGGCAAGACTCCATTGCTCGCCGTTCGTTCCAGCAATTGAGAACGCACCATTACCCTCAGGCTTCATCTAGCCTAAATTTACCACGTACGAAGGGAAGACAGACCCTTACATGCACCTAAGCCACTTTCGTCAGGTTATGGCAGTATACCGATGGAACGAAGCTTTAATGTGCATCCTCTTCCCATCAAGCCTTGGTGACCTAGGCTTGACTTGGTTCGAAAAACTTCCAAAAGGCAGCATAGCCTCCTGGGCGCAATTGGCGGAGGCATTCGTTACTAGGTTCAGAATGAACACCAAAACCCTGGTCGAAATTGATCAACTGCTCTCCATCGATATGGGCGAAAAAGAGTCATTAAAATCCTACAATAGCTGCTACTGGGAGACCTTCAACCAGATTGGGGACTGCCCCACCAATCTCGCCATCACACAGTACAAAGAGGCCTTCCAGTCGGGAACAGACTAAGGGACTCAATCACTATAACACCCCCTCTCACAATGGAGGCCTTAATGGAGAGAGTGCACCAACACATTTAGGTAGAAAAAGATGGTGCTCGTGCTAAATCAAAGTCTAGCACGACCATAGTACCAGATAAAAAGACCGCAGCAAAGGTTAACGCGGTAGAACGTTCGAACAAAAACGGATGAGGCAGGCGGGACAATGGAGAAGACCAGGATAAAAGATGGTTGAGAATCTGCACTGCCATTACCACGGTATTCAAAAAACCAATCTACCGGATCCTAAGTGAGATACGCGATGAACCTTTCGTCAGATGGCCTGTCAAGCTAGGAGAAGCTCAGAAGGACTACGACGAAAGATCGCGGTGCACCTTCCATAAAGAAAAAGGGCACCGCACTGAAAATTATACACCATTGAGACAACATTTAGAGGAGTTGGTGGCAGCCGGTCACCTGGACAAATACATTGAAGGAGGGGCGCAGCCAGCCCCCCAGAATGACGATCACTCGAACGGTATGCCAATCGACCCCCCACCTCAAGGCGTGATCAATGTGATTCATGGAGCATTCGAACCTGAGCGCGTATGCGAGCTCAAGGGCATGATAAAGAAGGCTGAGCACTTAAGAGAGGTATTGAGCGCCCAACCTACCATCAAAAAGGGGAGAACAGAGGCCACGAACGTCATGTCTTTTTCAGACAAGGACTTGGAAAGAATATATTGCCCTCACAACGATGCACTGGTTGTCACCCTCCGCATCAAGGACTATGACGTCAAGCGAATTTTGATAGACCAAGGTAGCTCGTGTGAGATAATGTACTACGACACCTTCAAACAACTAAAATTGGAGGACAAAGACCTGGCCCCAGTTGTATCTCCCCTGATCGGATTCAACTCAATGCCAGAATAGCCAGTCGGCAAAATTATCCTGCCAGTCAGGGCAGGAAGCGTGACAAAACAAGTGGAATTTTGGGTGTTGAAAGTCCCTTCCACTTACAACATAATCTTGGGAAGAACATGGCTGCATGCCATACGAGCGGTAGCTTCGTCCTACCATCAAGTAATGCGATTCCCCAACGAAATCGGGGTAATTGAAGAGGTCTTTGGAGACCAAATTATGTGCAGGCAATGCTTTGTCACGGTTAATGGCAGCCGTACTGCTAAGGGATATGTTCACTCGGTGGAAGAACCTGAGAGCAATGAACTGTTCGCAGATGTCGGCAAAACAGCTGATCAAAAAGCGGTGGAAGACTTGGTAGAAGTAAGAATAGATGAAAAGAACCCGGATAAATTCTTTTTGCTCGGATCGTCGTTGTCCAGCACTGAGAGGTTAGAGGTTTTGGAATTCTTAACCTCTAACATCGAAGTGTTCGCGTGGACACCCTACGACATGCCAGGCATTGATCCAAACTTCATCTGTCACCAACTCAATGTCCACCCATCCGCCAGACCAATCATTCAGTGCACTCGCAGATCGACACTCCACTACACCGAAATAGTTGCGGAAGAAGTAGGAAATCTGCTGGGGATAGGAGCTATCAGAGAGGTGCACTACCCTAGATGGATTTCCAACACAGTCGTGGTACCAAAAAAGAATGGAAAATGGCGTGTCTGCGTCGATTATAAGACAGTCAACAAAGCATGCCCAAAGGACAACTTTCTCCTACCACGGATAGATCAACTGGTAGACCTAACGGCAGGGCACAACCGACTTAGCTTTCTTGATGCATACAGAGGCTACCAACAGATCGCCATGTACGAACCAGACAAGCAGGTCACGTCCTTTACAACTCCAAGAGGACTGTATTGCTACAAGGTTATGCCCTTTGGCCTAAAGAACGCAGGGGCAACATTCCAAAGAATGGTCACCAAGATGTTCAAGCCATTGTTAGGCAGAACAATGGAGGCTTACATCGACGACATGGTGGTTAAAAGAAAGGATGACAATGACCATCTAAGGGATCTAGGTGAGATGTTCCAGATTCTGAAGAGGCACAAGTTGCGCCTTAATGCATCTAAGAGCGCGTTCGGTGTAGGATCTGGCAAATTTCTGGGTTTCCTGGTGACCAACTGGGGTATTGAGGCAGACCCCTCCCAGATCAAAGCTATTCAAGATCTGGAGATACCTAACTCAGTAAGAGAAGTGCAACATCTCACCGGCATGGCAGGTGCACTCAACCGATTCATTAGTCGGTCGTCAGACAGACTACGACCATTTTTTCTAGCATTAAAAGCCAAGTTCG